CTCCCTCTTTTTTTTAAAGCATTGATGGTGATGGAAAAGGGGGGGGGGGGGGGGGGGGGGAAGTAAGTGTTGTGATGAGAAAGTGAAATATCCAGGGGCAATATATTAATAATCTTCAGTGTTTTGATGAGTTGTTGTGTTGAGATGAGTCAAGAATTGACATCACAGCACTCTGGGCATTCCCATGCATGCTCAGTGTTTAAATTTCCAATAGGAAAACCTGGCTTTGATAAAGGATATACATAAAAGTGTTACCTAAACAGAGAATTTATTTTTAATAAAAAGCAAACTTAGTTTAATTAACATCCCCAAGCAGTCTCCAGGCACATTTTGGGAAGGCAATTCTGTCTTGAATCTGTCATAAAACCACGGTTCACATTATAATCAGCTACATTTTGTACAAAACAATGCACATAACTATCATAAAGAACACTTATAACGTATTACATATATTAACCACTTGTTGGATATTGGATACTGCTATGTTAGCTTTTTAGTGCTTCATATTTTTACCAACACTTTGTTACTAATGCCAATTATGTATATTGAGAGTAAAAGGAACAAGAAAAATTGACACAGAAATGAAATGTCTACAATGAATTCAAAATGTAACAGTGAGAGGTGGGAATGCAAATAATTCAAAGAAACAAGTGGGGAATGAACCAGTGGTAGACTACAGCAAGAGGCAAGTAAATTGTCTGGACATGTATCAAGACTGTCAAAGAACAGTAAACCACAGAGAGCTGTCAGATATAATAGAAGCAGTGCTTGAGGTTGCCCACGCAGCATGGGAATACCTGAATCTAGGTAGCAAACAACAAGGCTCACAAAAGATGCCTCTTCAAAATCTGATGCTGAAAAGAACAACAAGATCTAGAAGGAAAAAATACAACCAAACGTTTTGACCAACATCTTTATTAACGGACAAGACAGTGACATGCTGACCTTGGATGTTTTTGAATTGTTATACATTTCACATGAGGATAAATAAAATAGGAGGACACTCTTGGTCCTCTTCAGCCTTTTAAACCCTTAAGGTTCACTGCTGCAGACACCACCCACTACCATTCACCTGTGTGACTGAGCTTCTCTTTCCAGTTAGTGATCAAGTGTTTGTAGGTCTGTCTGAATGTTATCTCTCCGATATCCTCTTGGTCTGCCTCATGGTTTTTCTCCAGTCAGGTCTTTTGTGTATGCAGTCTTTGTCTTCTGTTTTCTGCCACTGTTGGCACCTTTCAGCTTTTTCAGATGATATTGTTATATTGTGCTACGGGGAATCACAGACCATGGCGATGGCCAGTGTGGCTAGTAAGCCGCACAAACATTACCAAATGTCTGCAATAATAAGAGAACCAGATTTCAGGATTGTTGTTGCAACCAAATGTATTTAGCGTGCTTTTTCTCAGATACGCAGCTATCAACATTTCTGCAGTTAATTCTTCCTTTACTCCTATTCACTTCCCGATATTTCCCTTCCACACAGCATGGTCTATGGCATTGTGTTCCCTGGAGTCCGCCTCAATACCTGATCATTCATCTGCCATATTCATCAACATAACCAAATTCCTAATCAGAAAATACATTTCACACCAGTTTTTATTGTAGGTTACACATTGTTTAAACATGATACATCCCACTACATTCATAACGAGCAACATATTTTTAAATACAATGATTATTTATTTTAACATTTCTGAATAAATGCCATTAAATTTTGATACACACCTAGCCAGTTTTTACAGGTAAAATATATGCAAAATGTTTTTGACAGGTAAAATATACATAAATGTTTATTTCTTTTTAATTATTAATATTCCCTCTTTGGGTTTGCAGACAGTGACTGACACCCAGTGATCCAAAAAGTCACTATTCACAGGTGAATTCAGTTGGAAGTCAGAAACCCAGTTCACCTGCATAACAAGTTTTTTTAGGCACCATATGGTTAGGAATTTACCTGCTGTCCAATGTGGGGTGCCCAGTTGACCATGTTTGTAGTGTACTTATTTCCATAGTGAGGCGCACACGCCATCTGGAGGTTACAGTTTCGATTTCCAGCACGGTAACTATAGCTTCCAATTTTTATGCTATCTAGTGTGTTCTAGCAGTGTCCGTGGCTTAGACGTTTTGAGTACTAATCCAACGTACCGTGATCGAAACCCACCGCTGGTTGCGTGGATTTTTATCATGGTTTAGGGCGTTGCAGGTCGACCCAGTCTAAAATGGGTACCAGGATGGGCTGTCCTGGGAAAGTAAAGACAACCGGCATAATGCTGACCACATTACCCACCGAGTGCTGATGGTCTGTAAAAATATGGGCGCTCTTCCCATATGCCCGATAAAGGCGTGGAAAGGGATCTTTACTTTACTTTTTTTACTTTTACTAGTGTGTTCTATCTTTTTACTTCTTTCTATGAGTGACTATCAATACGTTTTCTGTTACTTTATTAACATGTGTCCAGTGTGGGCAGGTTGTTACAAAAAATATATATGAAAGTGCAGTTAATATTTTATAACCAATATTTAAATGTTAGCAAATAGTTTATAATTATAACACAATCAACTCAACAGTTATACATGCTTAAGAAGTGGAAAAATATTGATAACAAGAAAAATTATGGAAGCAATCAAAGTTCCTTTGGATGGGAAGTAGAGGGAGGGGCAAACATATTAAAAAATATAAATGCTAAATCAACATAAATTTATTCACATATAAATACTGATTGAACTCAGATGCAACGAAAAACTCAGGGCTCTCAGTATGCTTGAAAAGAAGTATCCCAGTACTAGCTGGACAGGTGGCTACTGACGGCTGCTACACTTGCGGTCAAATATAGAGGTTGTGGAATATAAATCAAACACCCAGCAGCTAAACAGAAATACCCTCTCCCCCAGGAAGTGACACCTGCACAAACTACAGACTGTATGTAAGTTGTACCTCCCCCCCCCCCCCCCCCCCGACATCACACAAGCGATAAACACTCTGTGACACAAAGTGCTCCATGCAGATGAGGATCACCCCTGGAGAGGTCCCGGAAACCTTGTTCAGCCGTTAGGCCATATTTCAAGGCCCAGCTATATTTAGGGTACCCGGCAAAAGCCAGGGTAGGGCTTCAAAATAACTAAAAATTGCATCCCACAAGGGGATGATGACAATTAATAACATTGTGGCAACTTCACTCTTTCATCCCCTAAGAATACAGAGGACATAAAAATGTAATACTCAACGACTTTGTTTTAAAAAAAAAAGCTATTTAAAAAAAAAACTAACTGCCGATCTGAGGATCAGCTTTGAGAAAAAGCAGAACTAATTCTTCAGTGGATACTTGCTCAGTGTAAAGTTTCTAGGAAAGGAAAGAGCAGATAAACTGGCAACAGCTGGTAGTAATAATCCACAACTTCATCCACCACAGAGAAACCAAAGGAATCTTAATGCAAATCCTTCAGGCAGAATGGAGATTACAGGCCAAAAAATGACATCATAAAAATACTGACAGGAAAGAACAAACAACAAAATTTAGGTTTCGCATGAGACACTGTAGTCTTTGAGCACACCTATACAAACAAGCATAACAGAATCTATAGCTAAATATTTAGCATTCACTGATAACAGACACAGAAAAAGAAGCTCTAACTCAGAATAAACCTAATAATTACTGTTGTTACTTGAATTTAAGGTCAATAAATGTGCAAAGACAGTACATAAAGCACAAAACAAAAGATAGAATTTTGTAAGCATGCAAAGATGTTCTGTATACTATACTGTATATTTTTCAATAAGAGTATACTCGGAAACAAAGACGAATAGATGGCAGGCAAAATAAATGTATATCTAAACTTCACCTCAAAATATTTTAAGATTTGTATATACTGTTGCTGTAATGTGCATGCTATTGTTCTATTAACAATATATATGTGAAATTTCATAGAACTAGTTTTATTTAGTTCTAATTTTCACTTATATTATCACAAAATAATTGTAAATAGTCTGAACATTCTTTAAAAAAAAAAAAAAAGTAAGTTTGTAATTGACATAAAATAGCAATAACTGCATGTAATTATAACATTTCCAAAGACTTTTAAATTACTGTTAATTGCACACAAGTTGTAAACTACCAAACAAAAACTTTTGTTTTCTCTTTTTTTCTTTAAGGAAGACAGTAGATCTAATCCAACTAATCATTTCTACCTTGGCAAGAAACCCATTCTAAAACACGCCAATGTGTACATGCGTAATAAAAAAAACAACACCTTGCTTCACTCATTGAAGTTATCGTTCTGACTAGATGCATAAAGACACGTACATACAATCTGCATTGCGCATCAACTATTGCAGTATGGAAATAACAGCCTCATTATCAAGATAAGTGTTTGAACTCAAAGCTATATGACTGTATGACAAGCTGACAATAAGCCAGATATTCACTAACAACTATCATCTCTTTATCAACATACAGAACTTTTATTCTACAAGGAACAAATGAGATATAAGTTCTAGGACATAAAATAACTTTCATATTTTTCTTTCAAACATGATCCAAGGTAAATTAATCACAATAAGTATGTTTAATATTACTGACATTATGACCAGTCAAAACGTGTTTTATACTGAACATATGCTAGTTTGTACATATAAAAGCTATAGCTGGTACAACAGCATGCATCACTCCCAAGCTAAATTAATATTGTAAAAATGCAAATGAAATACAACATCATGACCTAGTATATGAAACAAGAAAATATTTGTGTTACGAAGAATTATTTAACCTACTCCAATATGATTACCAGATTTAGACAAATTATCCAATTATAACCCAGACGGGTTGAACAGGATATTTTTATGTAAATACTTCTAATAATTTATCGGATATGCCTGTTTCATAAACCCTTCTCGTGTCCCAAAACACATCTGAACATACAGCACACTGAGAACAGCGTTAACAGCTAACCCTAACTAGTATCAGCCCTACACATCTAGAGCTAGCAAGTGGCTCGGGTCAGTCTTACTCCTTGCGTGGAGACACTTGGATGGCGCCACTAGGAGTGTCTGCCCTGAACTGGATGCCGCTATCGGCATCTTCCTCCTCATCGTCATACAAATGGGTGTCGTCCTCTTCTGTATCGGCAGGGGTGGAGGCACGGGTCGATGAAGGGGATGGTGGTGCTGATGCAGGTTTCAGCATTTTAAATTCTTTCTCCTGTTGAACAAAGAGTCAAAATGTAGATGTTAAAACAGTCAAAACACTGATACCGAGCTGCTGTAGTGTAGCAGCTAGACATCTAAAGGTTGTGGGTTCAGGTCCTGATAAAGCCTGACTTTTTTAAAATGTTATTAAACAATAACCTTGACTCCTAGGTTGACCCAGTCCTAAACAGGTACCAGGTAAAGTCCTGGGAAGTAAAGGTGGCTGGTGTGATGATCTCATCATCCATCAAGTGCTGATTGATCTTTAAAATATAAGTCTAGCCCCATATGTCTGAAGACACGATAAAATATCCTTTACTTTAAAATTTTTTTTATTTCAACAAAAGTAAAAATGTGAATTCCAACCAATAAAGAAGTCAAAATGTGACTTCCAACTAAAGTCAAAATGACAATAACAACAAAAAGTCAAAATGTTAATTCAAACATAAATTTTATAGTTGTATAACAGAAAGACTCCATGTGTGTTTCAGAATTCAAGATAAAAAAAGGAATTTCCAAAGCTGCATTCAAATCAACTTAATTTTAAAAGGGTTAAGAATTTAGTGTGTAGGGCCATCTTACCTTCTGTCCCTCGCACTGTTAATTTTTCTTACACTAATTATACCTTTGGCTACACAAATGCATTGGATTTTTGATGTCCTTGGGCAGTTTCACTATGTTTGTCTGAAAGTTGTGTTGGCTGCAACTGCATAGTATGTAGACATGGTAGGTATGACTAAATTTTTTAAAAACATTTGAATATTATTTGGTGTATTAAAAAAAATTATCTTGGCCCTTATGATGTGTACATTTCTTGGCCAAAGAGAGTAAAAGCAGTTCTATCTATCTACTTTTACCCCAACAGGACATCACACAAGTAATAAACACCTGATGACACAAAGTGCCACCTTGTGGATGAGGATCACCGTGGCGAGGTCCCAGAAACTGCATTAAGCAATTAGGTCATATTTATGGCTGTCTATATTGCGGCCCCTGGCAAGAGCCAGAGTAGGGCTTCAAATAACGAAAAATTGTATCCCACACGGGGATGACAGAACTTAATAATATATATAAAAGCAGTTAATTCTTTGCTCAGTTTATATGTAGTGATTATTTCCCTTTACATCATAGTTTTTATTATTGAAAAAAATCATGGCGTATGGTAGCGTAGAGGTCGTCACAGGCTTGCCTGCCAGCGCAAAGGTCTTGGGTTAAAATTTGCACTGAGGTGGATTGTTTTTAAAACTGACCTTGGCTCGAAGGTCAACTGAGGTTAAAATGGCTACCAGGTAAAGTCTGCTGACGTGATGGGCACAACATCATGGCCTGAGTGTTGATTGGTTTATAAATACTAAGTTTAGAATCATATTCATGTGCGCCTGTGGAAAGGTGATCCAGACAGAAGAGAATGTACCCAGGACGGCACCAAATTTGACACATTACGGCAAACAACAGTGGAACGTAAACTCTATGGACCACTGAATGAACTCACAACAACAGTTAAATTTATACAAGAGACAAAATTGCTGATATAGACAACAAACAAACAAACAAACAGACAGACAGACAGAGACAGAGACAGACACACACAGAGAGAGAGAGAGAGAGAGAGAGAGAAAGAGAGAGAGAGAAAGAGAGAGAGAGAGAGAAAGAGAGAGAGAGAGCTGAGTGACAAAAGAGAAGAAGAAAAAAATTGAACTTAAAGAATACTGGTACTGGAATATTTAGCATGATCCATGGTTAAAGGACAGAACAAAAAACACAAAGTTTTGAAGGCTCAAAATGCAGAAGTAAGATTCTTGCAAAGAAAACAATGGCATACTTTATAATTTACAAAAAAAAATTTAAAATATTCTAAAAGGTTAAAGCCATGCCTGTAATAAAACAATAAGTTTTCAACAATGCTGAAAACAGTCCGTTTCTAAACATCTTATTCTTAGCAAATTTATTGACAATCTAAAAACTTACGCCTGAAGCATCAATGCCAGCTCTGTCTCCGAAAACTTTGTCCTGAGCCTGGTTTCTGGCCTTACGGTAATACTGAAGGGAAAAACCAGACACATATTAACATAGTACACAAATAACTAAAATACGAGGCGAGTCTAGACAAGAACTGACATTACAGCACTCGGGACATTATCCTATGTGATCTGACCTCACCTTCAGCAGCATTTAAAGAGTTCCAATTCTAATAGTACCAGTAGCAGTTTGATTATCTGTCTCTTGACTTTCCTCTGAATTTGCAGTGACAATCTTTTATAGTGGCAGGTCGGGCAGCTTATTCGCTCTTTCACCGCCCACAAAACTGATGTGTAATGTTACAATAGATATTAACTTCACAACACTATGAATTAGGACCTCTGAAATGATTCAGTCTAATGGCATTTATACCATCTCCATCAGACAACAAAGAAAAATAAATCACTATCTGTGCTTATCTAACGAGGAACACACCAGAATGTTCTACAGGACTTTTCCTGGCTTAGGAACCGGTCTGAGGTAGCTGTGGAGCCAGTCATCGGGGATAATGCCAGTTTTCATGGTGTTGTTAAAAATCGTGCATAGTTCATCCATATCTGTCGACTCGAGGCTTTTGAAGTCTCTGTATCTAATGCCATCAGGCCCTGGAGCTGTGTCTGGGCAGGTCTTCTGTGTTGCTCTGATGCAGTCCGTTGAGATGTATACTGTATCATCGACTTCCTCTATTTCAGCCATATCATGTAAACTCTGTTTCATCTACTCTCTCTCTTCCCTATCTTTCTTTTCCGTCTGCAGGAGAAATCTGTGCAGGATAGCCTAGCCTTTGTCTTTATCCAATTGTTACACCACCCCGTTGTCCATCTTTAGCTCGGGCATAACAGAGGGTTGTTTGCCTCCGTTCATCTTTTGGTGGAGCCGCCAGAATTTTCTGAGAGATTTTTCGCAACCTATTTCTTGGCAAAAATGTTCCCACATTGTGTGCTTAGACTCCTTTGCGAGTTGTTTAAAATGTTCAGTGAGTCTGTCTTTTTTGTGTTTAATGTCTTGTTTCTGCGGATCAGTAAAATTCGAAGACTTTCTGCATTTCTCCCAGTCTTTGGTGGCACCTCGTTTCTCTGTCCAGGCTTCTGCGACTTCAGGTGTCCACCACAGGGGCTGTTGAAAGATAGCTTTCTTCTTTCCCAGTGTTCTGCGTGACCTGTCTCAAAGACGCCCAATTACATTAGGCTGATGTGCAACGTACTGGAAAGTAGTGGCTGGTCTCTGAAACCTTGTGCAGATTGTTTGTTTGACCAGAATCCAACATGGAAAGTGGTCGCTTCCATGATGTCCCAGTACGCCCCATGATGTCCCTGTACGCAGAGTACACTCATACTGGGAGAGACCAGCGTGAGATCAAGGGCACTGTCAGTAGCACCTTCTCTGTTGGGGATTCTGGTGGGTCTGCCATCATTCAAGCAGATTAAATCCGTGTCTGTTAGTGCTTCCTCAAATGCCTTGCCCTGTTTATTGACCGTTGGATTGCCCCATAGACGACCTTTGGCGTTGGTGAAGTCCCCACACATAAAGATGTCGGTGGTTATCTGCTCGCACATGTCACTTAAAATTGTCCACTTTTCTTTGTCAACTTTATCACTACAGGCATAGATGTTGATTAGCGTGAAAGGCTTACTTCCTTCTACCTTTACGGCCTGAACCTGAATTTCGCTGTTGTTCCATGCACTCGTGTCAACAACTGAGGATGTTATTTCGCGCCTGACCAGGATTGCTTGGCCTAGGTGTTTGCTGTTGTAGTACGTTTGGAAGCCTGAGACATTCAGAGCTTTTTCTGTATTCAGCCGGGTCTCCTGAAGTGCGATTACATCAGCATCATATATCAGTTTCTCTAAGATTGGGCCTCTCCGTCGAACACTCCTGCAGTTCCAGCAAAGAATGCGGAGATTTCTCTTGCTAAGGCGTTCTGATTTAGATTGGTTTTTGCGAACAAATGGCTACAGAACACTGTAGGAAAACTCATTAAAAAAATCGTTGCCAGAAAGTTGACCCAAACATTGGAGTCAGGTGGCCTATTCCCCGCTACACTAGGTTGGTACCGACCAGGAAGAGATACATGGTGCAATGCTGCAGTATTTGCCTACGACACATATGAGGGTTTCCAGGAGGGAATGGAAATGGCTGCAGCCGCTATTGACTTAGAAGATGCGTACAACAGCGTCGAATACAACATGCTCATCAGACTGCTGTTGGATATGCAGATTGAAACAAAATTCGTCAACTGGATCGCAGCAGCGCTATTTGAAAGAACAGTGTCGCTTCGATGTGGTGAATGAGCATCCGAACCTCAACGCGTCCTAATGGGTCTGCTCCAGGGATCACCATTGTCGCCTGTGCTCTTCAATGTGTACACAGCAGGAGTCACGAGTGCACAAAGCATAGGCCTAGGCAGAACAATATCGTATGCAGATGATATCCTTGTTTACTGTCGAGGTAAAAACAGGCAGGAAATTACAACCACACTATAAGACGAACTAGACAGACTTAGTGAGTGGTGCCAGGAATCAAGAACTCAGGTGAACCCAACCAAAGCCATCTTAACATGGTTCTCTCTGAATACCCACATCGTAAGTACACCAACACCAGTCGTAAGCATCTGTGGTGTGGACATCGAGAGAACGGACACCGTGAAATACCTGGGCATGACATTTGATAGATGCCTGTCATACAAATGCCACGTAGACAACGTCATACTTAGAGCCAGGAAAGGTTTGACAGCACTCAAGGTGCTAGCTGATATTGAACGCCTACTTTTCCTTCTCTATCAAGGGCTTGTGCTTAGCGTCATTGACTATGGTCTTGCCCTTCTCACTGTCAGCAAAACCCAGCTAGAAAGACTGGCCGAGTACAAAATGAGGCCATGAGACTCATTCTCGGCTGCACAAAAGACACCTCCTGCAACGCCATGCGTTATGTCCTGGTTTTGCCGACGATGACTAGCAGATACAAAGTGGCACAGGTCAAGGCTTACATAAAGGTATCGGCAGACGTTAACCACCCATTGCACAAAGCTATACACGACGCAAAAGGAACGCGTCTAAAAAGAGGCCGATCTTGGATGGCAAAAGCTGAGGATTTAATCCAGCATGTATGTGACCTAGACGTGATCAGTCACGGAAAAGAATGGACGAATACACCAGTAGACATGCATGGCATCTCTAAAGTTGTCATCACACTTGGAAGGTACTGCAGGGATCAAATTCCTGCGGCCGTAGACACAGAAGTAAGGGAACTGATAGATCAGCATTCAGACCCAGAAGATATCATCATCTACACAGATGGATCCGTGAAGCGCGGATCAAGGTCAGCATGGGCATACACAGCGCAAAGAATGGGGAAAACAATACATGAGGTCAGCAGCGCTTACCAGACAACCACGTCAAGCATGACAATGGAAATAGCCGCTGCTTCTAGAGCTTTAACGTGGGTATCCGAGCAAACCGCCACACAGGCAGTAATTGTCTCAGACTTAATGAATATGCTTCAGAAGATAGCAACAGGCAGTATGCGCTCTGAATGGATAGAAACCATTCGGAAATCGCACTTAACCTCCGTAACCTGGATCTACACACCGGGTCATGTGGGCGTAAAGGGAAATGAGCGAGCGGACCAACTGGCAAGCACTGCACCAATGATTGCGGGAAAAAGCATGGACAGAGCAGATATCATCAACGCTGTACGAACTGGGCTAGTGGAGAATGAGGAGTCCCTGACACTAACACGATTGCGTGACATGGGAGTTAAGCATGGTGATGCACGTCTTTGCCGACTTCAGGGCCGAGAAAGGAGACGACATAACCAGCTTCTCATGGGGACAATTAGTAGAAGTACTTTGGAGTGGCTGCTGCTTCGGAGAACTGAGCACTCATGGGTATGCCCAATGTGCAGTGACATCAAGTGTGATAACAAAACATAAAATAACATCTTGTAGGGAGTCGGCAGTCCGAAACCCAAGTTCAAGGTGTCTCCTTCGTGCCAAAGAACTGCATGGCTGTTGGGTGAACAGTCGTTAACGAAGGCAGGCAGGCAGGTCGTTGTAGGGGCGACGCCTGCTGGTGGATGTAATGTCCTAAGTCCCTTCCCCAGCTAATAATGAGGGTACTGCTGGGGTGACTGTTTATTAACCCTCATATAATGCTTCAGGTCAAAATAGACGCTAGGCACGGCCACCTTTTTTTTTTCTGCCAGACGGTGGCCGTTGCATTTTTGCTCCATTTGTAGACTGGAAGGATATAGTTTCGTCGCCCAGCTTCTGAGTTGAGTGCATGGCGTTACACTGTGAGCTACGTGTTTTTTTTTGTTGGCACAGGAGCGGAGCAACTCTGGGGTGACCCGTTTGCTATGAAGCTGAAACTAGGATTACCAGATTACCAGTTCTACAGGAAAGTGCTGAGAAGTAATGGATAATTACAAGTGCAACAGAGATGGTCTGTAACAGAGTTTCTCAAACATTTTTTTGCTACGGCACCCTTGTCGGTAAAACAGATTTTCACGCTATACCTACCCTTAAAGTGGTTTGAATACTTGGAAAAAGAAAAAGAAGAAAAAAAAACAGTAAACATTTAATGTTCAGTTATCTTTAATGCGATGAATGAAACTGTTTGGATGAATTTTTAATTATTTCCTTTTTGTTTATGGGACGTTTAGTTGACTGTACCCTCCAATCACTTGAAAGTTGCTCCTGTATCAAGCCTACATTGAGAATGTATTGCAACCTTGCCAGTAGCATTGTTTTCTGGATACACATGCATCCAGAACTCTTTTTTCATGGTATTTCTTTTTTAAACTGCTGCCTTCACTGATCTCAAGCAGATTTTGAAAAAAATGTGATTATTGCTGCGGCACCCCTGGCAAACATTCGCGGCATCCCTGGGTGCCGCGGCACCCAGTTTGAGAGCCACTAGTCTATAAATCCCATCAATCAATCTTCTATAAATCCCATCAGTCAATCTGCCTTTAATACTAAGTACAAAAGCAAGGAAAGGACGTATAACATCACTTACAATTCCCAGATTTTTCCAGTCCAGCATCTCACTCAATCTTTCTGTCCTGTTCCTCTGAATGATCCTCTGACGGCGGGACAAGGATGAGAAGTCGAACATGAACTGTGGACATGAAAAGAGGCATAATGTCTCATGACAAATAAGCAAAACACAGAATGTCATTTCTGCTGAAGAAGTCTCCCTTTTGTTTGAAATTTTTTAACTTTTTCAACCTGAGAAGCCAAAATCTTGTTACTTCCATTTGTGCACTGCCACAAATGCAGATCAATCTGCATTTCTGGAGTGACCTATCCTCGAGAATACTAGTTAATGCCATTAGTTGTGTTTGCACCTGTGCAGCACTTAGGAGGCCAGGATATGAATATATTTACTGAAAATAGCATTCAGGGAAGTTTTTCTTGTGAACAAAATGCCTTTTAAAAAGCCATTTGGATGTCATAATATGTCCATAACCTTAGTGTCAGAATTCAACAAGGTCAAAGTAAGGGTCACCCGATAGAATTTTTCAAGGCCCAGCAGAATGTATTCCATTTAAAGCTTCACTTCCTTTGTCTGACTGATTACGCCCTTTACATATTTTAGGGAGGAAAAATTAAATATATAATTAAATACATTTTAGGTACATCTATTAGTCACCTGTGCTAACTCCTTTTTTTTAAATTTTTTTTTTTTTGGGTGTGTAAAAAAAAAAGTCAAAAATATTTGTTTCATCTCTCCCCCCCCCCCCCCCCCCCCCCCCCAAAAAAAAAAAAAAAACATATATAATTTGTTGCTCAACTATATGTCAGTGTTCAAAACATATATAATTTGTTGCTGAACTATACGTCAGTGTTCAAAACATATTTAATTTATTGCTCAACTATAAATCAGTGTTTAAAACATTTAATTTGTTGCTCAACTATACATCAGTGTTTAAAACATATATAATTTGTTGCTCAACTATACGTCAGTGTTTAAAACATATTTAAGTTGTTGCTTAACTATACATCAGTGTTTATAACATATTTAATTTGTTGCTCAACTATATGTCAGTGTTTAAAACATATATAATTTGTTGCTCAAATACGTCAGTGTTTAAAACTTTTAGCGTTCAAAACATACATAATTTGTTGCTCAACTATACATCAGTGTTTATAACATATTTAATTTGTTGCTCAACTATATGTCAGTGTTTAAAACATATATAATTTGTTGCTCAAATACGTCAGTGTTTAAAACTTTTAGCGTTCAAAACATACATAATTTGTTGCTCAACTATACGTCAGTGTTCAAAACTTTTAGTGTTCAAAACATGCATAATTGGTTGCTATACTATACGTCAGTGTTCAAAACATACATAATTTGTTGCTCAGCTATACGTCAGTGTTTAAAACATATAATTTTGACTACTCTAATTTTTAATTTATTCTTTTATGTCTCAATAATTATGCTGCGTTGTGCATCACTAATACATAATGAAAACTATAATTATTTGCATTCACCTGGGTAAAGATTCGACATGACACCATTCAGGACAAACCAATATTAGCCCCATTACAATTCTAAGTAGTTGTAGTAGTAGTACATTTTACCCCACCAGGACATCACACAAGCGATAAACACCGGATGACACAAAGTGCCACCATGCAGATGAGGATCACCAGTAGAGAGGTCCCAGAAACCGCGTTCAGCCATTAGACCATATTTATGGCTGGGCTATATTCAGGCCCCTGACAAGAGCCAGAGTGGGGGCTTCAAAATAATGAAAAATTGCATCCCACTAGTGGATGACTAGCTAATTCTCAATAGCCAGTGGAGAGTTTATAAATTGATAGTACCTGCGGTCCTCTGGTTAACTCATCTTGCCTGTCCCGAGTCTCAAAAGGTGCCCAGAGCCCACTCCCTGTTACATCATTCTCTCCAGGTACAGGTTTTCAGCGTGTTCCATTTTACTTGTTGCCACCTTCTACAGGTGAGAGATCACCTCTGCCTAGTGCAGCTGCAGTAAACCCTCCAAGTGGGGCCAGTCTGGCAGCCTATCAGCCTGGTCAGTCCCAGACATGCCTACACAGTCAACAGACATGGCCAATAAAGGCATCTTTTTTAAGGATGCCTAGTTGGTCATGTTTTTATTACTCTTGTTTTCACAGCGAGGCGGACACACTATTTGGAAATGACAAGTTTGATTCCCGGCACGGTAACCATAGCTTTAGACTTTTATGTTGTCTAGTGTGTCTTTCTATAAATGCTGATCAATACACTGTCTGCTTATTTTATTTATATAATATCTATTCGGTCTAATGGGTTCCTCCTTTGTTTATTTATGCGAATGACGTATAATAAAATGGAACCTACCAATCAAATATTTTTCTTCATGTTCGTGTACTCTAGACAAAGCATTACGATCTGCGGTGTTTGTAAATTGTTGCTGTGATTGCTATTCAACCTATGCTTGGTTAATATAAACTTCTGTAACCTATGGTGCCATAATGGTTTGAGATGAATTCTGTCCATATTCCATAGTTGTCAATTTCAAGCTGTATGACAGACATGGCCAATGAAGACATCTTTTTTTTTAAGGTGCCTAGATTGTCATATTCTTAGTACACTTGTTTCCATACCGAGGCACACATGCAACTTGCAGGTGGCAGATTTGATTCCCAGCACAATAACCAAAGCTTTCAATTTTTATGCTCCCTAGTGTGTCCTAACTTTCTACTTCTTTCTACGAGTGCCAATCAATACACTGTCTGTTTATTATATATATAATACTACATTGTCAAGGCAAAATATTCATGTGTGACTCACCACCTGTGACTTCTGGATTGATATACAATTATACCTACATTAAAAACAGACCATAACATGTACTTGAAAAGGGACCTTTACTTTTTTTTTTTTCAACTTTATAACATGTACACTTGAAGTAACAGTGTAAGTGTAAATTACTATTTCATAATAAAAGATAGGTCCCTTCTTACTTGTGCTAGTTCTCTGACAGAATCCTCGGCACTCTTGTATCTCCTGTCAACAATGTAGATACCATAGGACTTGGGATCAATGACATGTTCCTGCATGAAGCAGCCAAAGCCGGACAGGTTTGTGGTGATGCTGGGTATGCCCATAACTGTGCATTCAGCTAAGATGTCCAGAAACAGACAAAATTAGTCTCAGGTTGTCATGTGTTTTAAACTTTCTCCCACATTTCACTCAGAAGTGTGCAACAATAATATTAGTTCACAGTCTGAATCAGCATTTGTCATCTCCATTCCTCAGCCCCACTGTGGGGAAAACAAGGAAAACAGACACACTGCAAGACAATAATATACAGAGCACTATTTGCTGGAGTGTAGGAAATATGAAAACCCAAGGAAACCATTAACTGACTACGTGAGTGTCTGTAAATTACCTATGACGATGGAAAACTTGCTGCACATAAGCAGCCCCAGAGAGTTGCATGGCAAGGTCAAGCAATTTATTACTAGGAATAAAATCCATATACAGAAGGGTAAAGAATGCCCATGGCATCTTTGAAGAAGTTTCTCTTAAAGAGGAACTCCAGGAGAATAATCAATGATTGCACAATAAAGAAACATATCCACCATGTTAATTAATGACAGAATATTAGTAAGACTGTCTAATTATTCATAGTGTGCATTCTGTCATAATCACATCCCAAATCAAAGCAAAATGTGAAACAATACAAATTACATTTTAGTCATATAAATAATTACACAAAGAGACATCTTATTCAAAGCATACTTTTCCAACTCTGTGCTACCAGTGCCACACATGATCACTCACAACAAATCATTAAAAAAAATTAGTAACCATGGAGATGAGATGTCTGAGAAGGGCTGTAGGAGTGACCATAAGAGATAAGATCAGGAATGAGATCACAAGAGAAAAAGTTGGCACAGAACCAATTCTAAATTACATACGAAGACAGCAGGTGAAATGGTTTGCCCACTTAGAGAGAATGCCTTGTGACACCATACCATACAAAGCATACATGGAAAGAGGAGAAGGACGTAGAGCATGAGGTAGACCAAGAACAAGATGGAAGGATAACATCAGAGAAACTCTACAACAGCACGATGTGCCTATGGTCGAGGCGGCCAGAAGAGCTAGAGACAGAACCCACAGCGGTAAAAAAGGAAGTGAAGAAGAAGAAGAAGAATTACAAGATATATAAATATAAAATAAATATATACTTTGAGAACTCAATTAACTCTATATATCCCAGTTATAACTCTGAGGGCAGAACAGGATATTTTTGAAAAATTACTACTACTACTACTAGACCCACTGCTTCCCCAACAAGCATGTCATAGGAGTCAACTAATCGGGAGCTTGCTTCAAAGTCAGAATGCATCTGCCAGACAGGCAGGGAACCAACAGTCTGCATACAAAAGTCATATCTGTAAAATGGATGTGCATCCAATACTTAGGTTCTGGAACAAGACAGGTCTGAAAGTAGATGAACAACCAGAACTTTCTACCAGAGTTTTGGCGAACGAGAAGAAGATGACACTGCAGCCGCTAGGAATATAACATACTTTATTATATAAAAACAATTGCTGTGTGAAAGATAAATATTTGGAAGGTCTGAATGTGTGATAAACCTGCATTTCCTTTAAAAATAAAGTCTGTTAATTCATTCATTTAGGTCCCAAAATACTTCCATTACATTAGCTGCACATCAGCACTATTCAACTGGTGGCCTGCAAACCAAATCTAGCCTGCAGAGGCCTAGCAAATAGCTTGCAGATTACTGCCAGTTGTACTGTATTAATGATCTTTCTATTCTAGGGCTTAGGTCTCTGGCCCGTGATGACAACATTTCAACATTTTGTCCTCTGTCAGTAAATTCAAACATGTGGAAACAATCATTTCATCCGATGGAAAATGTGTTAGAGATTAAAAGCAGAATAGGTCAAGTGAAAGCTGCATTCAGACAATGAAATATAATCATGCAATAAATCGCTCTCATTTAATGTCAGAAAGAGAAAGAACCTGTTCTGCTGTATAGCCTCGAATCTTTGAATGTTAGTGAAGAAATTAGGAATAATTTGGAAGCATGTAGTTTCTAAGACGAATGTTTAGAATACCTTGGATGGCTAGAGTAACTAACAACAATTGCTTGAAAGAAGCTAATGTAAGTGGATCTCTATATACAACAAGAAAGAGACAAACACTGTTCTTTGGCCACATAATGAGAAGAGACACTGGAGAACATCATGATTTCTGGAAAGATCAGTTGAAAAAGGGGTAGAGGCAGACCAAAAGAGATATTCTGGATGGGCTGAAATGATGGCATGCAGGGATATCTTCAAGAGAGCTGTTCCAGGCAACCAGGGATCGTGATCTGTGGAGACGCATGAGCGCCTACGCCTGTTGGCAGGGCACATGATGATTATGATAAGTCCTCTGAGTAAACTTAGTTAAATATCCCTACTGTACATTGAGGAACTTTTAAATCAATATTTCTTAACATTACAAATGTTAATTTTCCAGCTATCTTCATCATCTTCTCACCTCACATAAAACTGTAAACACAGACTAATAAAGAATCTTTTTTTGTGTGTGTATCCACATATGTTATTTACATTTTAAAAATTTACAACAAAGATATAAAAACGTTATCAACCTGGTGTGTAGCCCCAAGGCTCATAGTAACTTGGGAAGACACCAAGATGGCATCCTCGGACAAAATCTTCATAATCCAAGCCAAAAAGAGGGTTTGTGGGACTCAAGAACTCAGGATGGAATACTATCTGTGAATAGAGACATCAAAATATGCTTTCATAATTTACACATCAATAACATAAAATGCAACATGCTGCAAAATTGCAATGTGCTGCCACACATTTCCATTTAGTTAAAGGGGTCTGATTGTTACATAAGGCCCTACACTCGCTGTGATCAAGACAGCAAACATTTTATTCCCAGCATGCACAATTTAATTTATTCAGGAAGATCCGACATCCACCATTTGAATGGAGTCCTTTTTCTTATGTCACCCAAAACAGAAAGATCGCTAATCAGCTGGGAACCAGTAGATGACAGAATCATAACAGCTTGTTACTAAACGCAGCCATGCACTCAGAATGGATAAGACAAGACTCTCATCAAGTCCTTTTATGGACACTGGAGGGGAAATAAAAATGGGGAAGACCAGGAGATACCCTGCACAGAACGATTATCAGGAAAAGCTTAACCATGGGCTTAACAAACATCCAAGACCTAGAGCAAGTGGCAATATGGAGAGCTATGACTTCTACCCTATGCGCCACCCTAGGCTCAAAAGGAAAGACTAACTACTAATGCACAACTCTTTAATGCTTAGATTTCTGTTTTGTGATATGAGGTTTTACAAAAGAGCAGGTGTTGGCTCCATGCTTCTACCCCAAATCCAGAGGACCAAGAGCAGACCAAGAAGATGGTGGAAAGATACTGTACACGGAGACCTACAAACACTTGAGTCACCAGCTGAAAAAAGAAGGGCAGTCACAGAGATGAATGAAGGCAGGGTGATATCCGCAGCAATGAAACTCAAGGGTATGACATGCTGAAGACAAGCTGCTTTCATTTCCCAGCAGAGTACAAATAACAGATGCCAAATCCTACCCATTGAGAAGATATCCTTCAGCAGTTGAAGGTTTATGTTTCTTCTGGTGATGAAAGGTACAAGATAAATGCCAGTGTTACCGATAAGCCTAACATTTTTAAATATTAAAGATAACAGTGAGAACATTATCATGGGCTGAAATGTAGGAAATATTAACTTCACAGAAAACCAGTAACTAAATAAATGAATTTTCCTGTATGGGTTCCGGGGCCCCATTGGGGGTTGGTGGGGGGGGGGGGGGGGGGGTGGTCTACCTAAAAAGCATGTAATAAAAGGTGACTAATTGGGGACTTTTCCTCTGAAGTCAGAGTGCATCTGCCTGAGAGGTGAGGAACCAAAAGTCTGCAAGCAAGCAAGTTAGCTAAATTTGTAAAACAGATGTGCACGCAAACAAGTTTTGGAACAGTACTAAGGTCTAGAAGTGGACAAACAACCAGACCTTTCTGAGAGTTTACAGATGCTGAATGCTAGAAAGAAAAATATACGAATCCCTGTAGTATACATGAAGGAAAATTGTTATTAATAAATAACTCCACATTTTTTGTGGAAAAATATCAAGCAATTTATATAACTAGGGCTCAAATCTATTTATACTTACTTTAACTCTGTCATGACGGTTGTTGAAAAGATTGCATCTTCGGATCTGGTTAAGGATCTGATCACTGGAGTCATCCACAACATTGTGAGTGCAGATTGGAGGAAGACTGTTTCTCTAAACAGAAATAGGAAAACAGTTTGAATGCATAAATGGCATTAACTATAACTGTACTGTTATTCAAATAAATAAATTAAAAAAATTAAAAGACAGTTGCTTGCATCTACAGAGGAACTGTTCAGGGTTGAAGAAGTTGTTCTTGACAAACAAAATGAGTTAAAATAAGCTAACAACTGACATCACAGCACTCAGACATTTACATCTGACACAGAGATCAAACTTCTGAACATAAATCACCTTTAGAACTTAGATAAGCTTTGACTACTACACATATGGGTTCCAGGGCCCCATTGTGCAAGAAAGAAAAAGACCATCTGCCCCTTAAAAAAAAGCATTTTATAAAAGGAAATTTATTTATTAACAGTTTGTTGAAATCAAATTTGATTGACCAAAATGTGCAGACATCACAGCCTAGCGGTAAAACATAAATTATCATGCCAGTCACTCTTCTAAGGTGCAGGCAGTCACTGCTGCCTTTTGCTGGTTTGAGAATCAGCTGCACATTCATTGTAACTGACTCACAGAGAATGTTGAGAAAGGTGAAAACAGGCATGCTTCATGCAGAGTGGCAAGCATCACTTCAGAGGTCCCGGGTAGTTAGCATCCATTGGATATTTTCTCCAGGTTCTGCCAGTGTGTTGGGAAATGAGCAGGCAGATAGACTGACTAGCTGGCTCTACACCACTTGGTGGTGAATTGATGTATGACAAGTAAGATATTATGAGGGCCCTTTGAGAGTGAGTGAACAGTGCGGAGGAAGTTTTTATCCACCTTCATGGAAGTTTGTTTAGAGTTTCTAGGGATATATAATGTGGCAGCCTCCCCTTGCTTCCCATATCAACATGGTTGAGCATCAAAACCTTCAGCATTCTTTCAGATTGCCAGGATAAGTGAGTACCCTGCTCTGTGATGCTATTGATGGCAGCAGATAGCTCAGCAGAGGTGTTTGCCTATCCAGGCAGATGAGATGAACATTAAAAAAGTGAAATTGACCCTGTACTATCAGACCATTCCTGTGGCTTTTAGGCAGTGTTAAGAGATTCACATCATGGAAGAGGCTGGGGGCCTCATCATGTAATCACACAGACAGCAGCGGGTACCCGGCAGTCAAACTTCATTTCAGTGATAACAAAGTAGAGGACCCTTTTCCACACCTTCATGCGGATCAGGCATATAGGGTTAGACCTATATTTTATAGACCAGTCAGCACTCACTGGGTGATGTTTATAACATCACACTAGCTGCCTTTACTTCCCAAGATTTACCTCACACCCATTTAAGGCTGGATCCACTTGGGACTCAAGGTCATTTTTTAAATGTCTGGCTCCGTCAGGATTTAAACCCATAACTTCAAACCTGCAAGCCTGAGTCTAGCCGCTACACACTGGCAGCTCCCCATTGTAGAGATAGCAATGGAAAATCTGATTTGATTTTGATGATTTGATTTGATTTGATTCAAGAACCGACATCACAGCACTCGGGGCATTCCCATAAGCGCTCCGTCCCCATCTTCAGCAGCCAGCGAAGAGTTCCGATACTAATGGTGCCAGTAGCTTTCTGATTAAATGTTCGACTTGCCTTTCCTCTGAGCCTTGAGCTTCTGCCAGAACCTCTCGTCACCCCCAACTGCATCAATCTCACCAGACTGTGGTGATCCATCTGCTCCTCCGCATTGTACACGCTCTCCCACAAGGCTGGAAAATCTGATGTGTTAATTTAATGCTCGCTGGAAAATCTGATATGTTAATTTAATGCTCTAGTATTTCATAATGTGATGCCGAGAGTGATCAGTTTGAGAGTGATCAGCAACTCTGTACTTAATTTTTAACCCATGCGTGCGTGGAGTGAGTCTATGAGCATGATAAGGTTAAAAGAGACATTCAGAAATTTATAAAACTATTAAATCTTTATTGACCAGGAAAGATCACAGAATGTATGGCACACTCTCACTCTCTGTGTATATGTATGTACATGCATGGTTGTGTGTATACATTCATATGTCAATGTGTGTGTGCGCATGCATATGTGTGTGTGGGGGGAGGGGGTGAGGGAGTGGAAGGGGCAGCTATCAGGGTACATACTCATAAAACTGCTCACCTGTGCTGCATAAATGCAACGCTTAAGCTTGACTATATCCTCCTGAGTTAGAATTTCATCTCCGCTCGGAATCTTTCCCCTGGAGTAAGAGAATACATTTCTACATAAACCACAAGACGTGCTGATTTACAATTCTATGTTTAATAATAACATTCATGTAGTTGTAACTTAAACAACAAAATCCTGTTCAACCCATGTGTATTATAACTGTGATATATAGTTGTTGTTTTTTTTGGGTGTGGGGGGGGGGGGGGGGGGTCTATTTCAGTACTGGGTATGTATGCTTGTCAATTATTTTTGGTAATTTAATACTGTATATAGATTATGCATTAATTAGACCACAATGAAAATAAAGTGGTACCTCAGTATGGGTCCTTAAACCATTCCAGATCCTTGGACGTATACAAAACAGGACATTATACCAACACATTTTTCCATAAGAAATAAAGGGAGAACAGTTAATCTGTTCCCATTCAAAACAAACCTCTTGTTGTTTGGTATGTTATACACTGATGGGGTTGTACACAATAATTTAAACAGTGCTTAATACTAAACTACAAAAGTTAGACCGAAGGAAATGTAGTGTTAATAACTGCACTGTTACTTATTACTAAATAATACACAAAAATTCAAGGAACTTTTTAAAGCTACCTCATATAACTGTTTACAGGGGTTTCTGGCATTTGCTCCTGTTGATACTCAACAGAATAGTGGCTTTCTGAGTCACTGGTTATAAATCTTTCAGGTTGCAAATCCAGAAAAGGGGGTGGGGTTTAGAGATAGAGAGAGAGTGTGATAAAATGACAGAGCTAGTAAGAGAGAGAGAGAGAGAGAGAGCAATTGAGAGAGGGAGTGAGTGAGCATGCGTACATGTGTGTTTGTGTTAGATATTAAGTTAATTTTATATATCACCAAGCATCTAACTGTTCTAATAAATATGTAAATGGTGTCAGTTATTCAGTTATGCACAAGCTAATATTCACCTCAAGCAAATATCGAAAAGTCGCCTGCCTATCTGGTTCTGAACATTGCTGACTGTATCCTTAAGTTGCTTAGCAATAGCTTGACCACGCAATGATTCAACGTTGAAGTTGTTTGTCCGAGTAGGAAAGATCAGGAAAGCAATGATGGTCATGTCACTATTGCACGACTGGGGATATAAGCAACACGGAGCACTGTTAGTAATTAAATCAACCATGACAGCTGCCAGGTTTTAATTTTTTTTTTAAAACTGAAATTTAGTTTTCAGTTGCATTAAATGTTTTCCACTTTACAGTAGGTGAAGAATGGGTAGAAATTTAAAAAAAAAAAAAACAATCATCAAATGTTAGTCCTCATGTCATTCTCTATGCAGGTGAAACAATTTCATACGAGCTTACATTAGTTACAAAGTGGTGACTAACAGATCCCAGTAATGATCAGCTCTCCTCAGCATGCCAGATTCATTCTTCTTCCTCTTCTTGACGTTCACTGGCTATAAACTCCAGCGGAAGTTCTAGGTGTTTGTCCACTTCTGGACTTTGGTCTTGTTATAGAACTTGAGTTTTGCGTAAACATCCATTTTGTGGATCTGGCTTTTGTGTGTGCAGACTGTTGGTTCCTTGCCTCTCGGGTACATGTGTGCCAACTTCAAAGGAAGCAGCCTGATAAGACAGCTTGTGTGACATGTTTGTTGGGGACAGCAGGTCTATTTTTGTTCCGCCCCCCCCCCCCCCTCCCCCATAAAAGAGCAATGGAATCCACAACATTAGTCTCCTAGAGGGGGGCCAGGAGGTTTATTTGTTCCACCCCACTCCCAGCTTCTTCACAAAAGAGCAATGGAATCCACAACATTCGACTGTCTCCTAGAGGGGTGGGGTGGGAGGTCTATTCTTGTTCCACCCTGCTCCCACCCCTCAAAAAAGAGCAACTGAATCCACAACATTCGACTGTCTTCTAGAGGGAGGTGGACAGGAGGTCTATTCTTGTTCCACCCCGCTCCCACCCCCTCACAAAAGAGCAATTGAATCCACAACATTCAACTGTCTTCTAGAGGGAGGTGGACAGGAGGTCTATTCTTGTTCCACTCCTCTTACTGATTATTTGTATGCAGATTGGTTCCTTGCCTCTCAGCTTCAAAGGAAACACTCCCTAATTAGTTGAATTTTACAACATGCTGGTTTTGGGGGGGGGGGGGGCCCCTTGGGTCTGCTCCCACTGCTCCACCCCCCCCCCCCTCCCACAATGGCATTCTGGAACCCAGAAAAAGAGAACAGTGCTTCTGACATGCAACACTGCACATTTCAAACTAATTATATATATTTTTTCTTCCTCTGTGTAAGTCATGTTTCGTCTTGACTCTCTGTATCTATGACCTTTAGAGCAATGTATGACAGGAAACTCTGAGCCTGAGGATTTGTGGGCCGCCTGGCTAGTGAAATCACCATCAACTGTGCAGGTTAGGATTTTTGCCCCTAACAGAGCAAATTCGTTATCTTACCCGGGATTCAGCATCTGTGGCTTAGGCACTGCGAACACACTTCGTAATGCCGGGGCGCTGAGTTCGATCCCAGCTGTAGATAATTTGACAGCAGACCATCTTGCGTTGACAGTGGCATTGAAAGCAATGGCAAACTAATGAACATAAATTTGCCTAGAAAAACGCAACAGCTAAAAAATGCTGGGGTTGGTTCTGCAACGTCCTGTAAAGGATACTCAACTAACTTAACCAAGGATTCAAACTTGAGTCTCTCAAATGAGATCCCAACAATTCTCAAAAAGCTGTCCAGCCACTCCTCGAGAAAGTCAAGCACCCATGCTTTATTTACTGTGGCAGTTGTGCCCTTGAAGAATCTGTGATAAAAATTTCTGGAACTAAAATATATTTGAAAAAAAAAAATACCCATGAGGATCTATAAAAGTATTACATCAAAGACTGCATACCTTAAGGTAATAGTTCAGCCTTGCTAGAGATTCTATAAACATATCTGCTCCTTTATTAGAATACTCATATCTGCCAGCAGTAAAGAAGTACAGTGTCTTATCCAAGTCGAAATCATAATGCCTGAAAAACAAAATGACAATTGAAGTTATTATTTTTATTAGTTTATTATTTTTACGTTATAAGTTATTAACCATACTGGGTTTATATAAATCTGCCTCAGTCATGTAACAAATAACAAGTTAAAATCACATAACTAATTAAAGAGGCTAGAAAAAATTAACAGACCCTTTTCACGCCACTGACAAATTGAGCATTTGTTGCTACTCTATTATTTTTATTGACCAATTTGCACTCAATGAGTGATATTACGGTTGTTGATAAATGGTGCTGCCAGGCATTACCAGGAGATCTGGCCAACTCTCAACGGAAAGGTGAGATGGTTATACAGACTGTTACTAGTGCCATTAGAAATTGAATTTTGTGCTTGCTGCTGAAGATGGGGATGGACCGCTTACAGGAATATCCTGAGTGCTGTAATGTCGATTCTCAAGTCAACAATCATGACTCAATGAGTGATGTGATTAACATCCTGCTGGCCAACCCCTACTTCACAGGACATTTTTCCCCGTGTGGGTTCCGGGGCCCCATTGTGGGGAAAACAAGAACAGACCCACTGCCTCCCCAAAAGCATGTCGTAAGAGTCGACTAATTGGGGAACTTTCCTTTTGAAGTCGGAGTGCATCTGCCAGAGAGGCAAGAAACCAACAGTCTGTATTCAAGAGAATGAGATCTGTAAAACTGATGCACATGCAACACTCAGGTTCTGGAGCAGGACTGCAGTTCAGTAGTGGACGAGCAACCAGAACATTCCACCAGAGTGTACAGCTGGTGTACACAAAAAAGAAAGAAGACAGGACATTTCCTGTAACCCATTTACCCAAGGCTGCGATGTTCTATTTTAAAATATTTTAAAATGGTTAAAATGCACTTCAATGCAGATTTAAAACCAAAACCAAACAGACAAGCATCAGGCAACTACACTACCATGGATCCCAGGCAACAAGCTAACACAGCTAATTCAAGCAAGGTAATATAAAGACTACTGTATTTCTTTATATAAGAAATGTCCCTCAGAACAACACACTGATAGGAGAATTAGATGAAAGGTCATAAGCCAGCCTCTTGGGTCATCTTGCTAAAGATCTGATATCACAGCATTCAGGACAAACCCGCAGTAGCTCGGTCTCCCTCCTCAACAAGCCTCCATAGCGCTCATTGTCATCTGGTTAACTACTCATCTTGTCTTTACCTTGGGTCTCCAGTGGCACCCAAAGCCTGCAGACACTCTCTGCTGCATCATTCTCTCCAGGTATGGGTTTTCAATATTTTCTATTTTACTTTTTACCTTGTCCCACAGGCAAAAGATCACCTCTGCCTTGTGCAGCTGCAGTGCACTCCCCAGTGGGGCTAGTTCAGCCAACCTATCCACCTGTTCATTCCCAAACACACCTGCATGACCTGAGCAAAGCATCCATGTGACTCTCACTCCCTGTGACCTCTGGAATGATGACACCCATTCCATATGAATAAAGCCTGATTCCACCTCCCTGAGGATGCTTTGCAAATCTGATACTATGACAGCATGTATGAGTGACATTTGCTTCACCCATCAGAATGCTGCAGTTACCAGCTCAAAATCCATTCTCATGATAGATGTAGTAATATCTTCTTCATGACACTGGGCTACAACATGGTATCAGTGAGACGACAAAAGAAAAAAAAGTTATAATTGTGAATGCAGACTGGCCACATACATGAATCATATAACAATAAATGTAATGTATCCACTCCAGAAATATAAGGAGGAAGATAAACTATAGATTATTTGCCTCACCCATAAAAATGTCCCCGAACAAAGTCATTGATCTTCTCCTTGTTGATGGCATGTAAGTTTTGGAACTCATGAATTGCGCTGAACTTCACCACATTTAAACCATTAGGAGTGATCACATCTGTAAATGGATAGCACAAATTGAATCGATATTAATAGTAACCTTTGAAGAGAATTAGACATTCAGAGATGGTTTCTTCAAACTTTCACACTAAAAATAAATGTTTGTTACAAATTTCTGACTCCCCCCCCCCCCCCCCCCTCCTCCCTTTTCACACATGCTGGGTTTGAATCTACATCAAGGCAGCATTTTCTTCAAAACTTCACCTTTGACCCTGCCTAAAATGGGTACTAGGTAATGTCCTGGGAAATAAAGATGGTCAGGGTAATGCCGATCACATCATCTACTGCACGCTGATTGGTCTGTTTAAAAAAAAAAAACAGTCTAGTATCATATGCTAATGCACTACTGGAGCAAAAAGGATCCCTAACCGTTTTGTAAAACTTTACGCACACTCACACACTGGTCATAGGAAATACTAAGGCTAATCTACTACACAATTAATAACTAGGATCCCCATGTGCGTTCCTGCCCTTTATAGGGAAAACAAGAATAGACCCACTGCCTACCCAAAAGCAGGTCATAAGAGTCGACTAATTGGGAGCTTCCTTCGAAGTTGGAGTGCATCTGCCTGGGAGGCAAGGAACCAACAGTCTGCATACAAATGAGTCAGATCTGTAAAATGGATGCACACACAACCTTGAGGTTCTGGAACAGGACTGCAGTCCAGAAGTGGATGAACCACCAGAACTTTCCGCTGGAGTTTACAGCTGGTGAATGCGAAGAAGAAGAAGAATAACTAGGTTGTTAGGAGCAGACAACTAGCAGTTGTACACTGAATGCTGAATTATGAATCGACATCACAGCACTTGAAACATTCCCATAAGCCCTCTGGTCCCCGTCTTCAGCAGCAAGTGAAAGGTTCCAATTCCAATGTTACAAGTAAAAGTCAAATTGTATATCTGTCTGAGTGTTGAACATCAGCTAGATCCCCTGGTAACTCCTTCCAGTGCCATTCTCCTCACATCATGATGTTATATTTGTGCCGCCACACTGTTCACTCTCTCCCTAAGGACCCATACATCATCTAGCTTGCCATACATCAATTCACCACCAAGTCATGCAGAACCAGCAAGTCTATCTGCCTGTTAATTTCCCAACACACCTGCATGACCAGGAGAAAATATCCAAAAAACACTATAACTACCCGGGACCTCTGAAGCGATGCTTGCCACCCTGCAAGAAGCATACCTGTCTTCACCTTTCTCAACATACCATGTGAGCTACACAACACTTACCAGGTACCCTCTGCAGCAGATGCTTTGCCTCTACCCCAGTGATATCTGAGACAGTGGTAAATACATGGGAGCAGTGGACAGCTGCCCGCTCCAGACAATAGCGGTGGTAAATCTGTCGATCTCCGGCTTCTTTGTCCAGGTTGAACTGAAAGAATGAGCAAAACATGATACATAAAACTCAGCAGTGTTAGGTTTGTGTGTTGTGTTGTATGTGTTTTAAGCATTTATGTACCTCAAGTTTAGTGTACATGAATGGACCATCATCATCATGTTGCAGGTTTTTTTTTAGGCATAACATCACTCCCATCATGATCCGCCTGAAAGAAACTTGGTCACTTGCCAGCGCTCCCACCTTGTGCCTTTTCATACCCAATGAGTCACTTATATCCCGTCCCCTTTCTAACCATACCTTCTGCTTTTATTTTGTTCCAATCCGTCGTGCTGCTTGATAAGGATCAAAACATTTCAGCTTCTGAGACAAACTGCTGCTTACTAGCTAATCTACGGGGCTGCGTGGTTTGGAGGCATGGTGTCCGCCTCGAGTGCTAGAGGTTCCGAGTTCTATCCTAGCTAATCCTCCTTGATGTTCACATCTTTTAGGATCTCAGTATTTCTTTTCTTTTTTCTCCATGGTATTCTAAAAATCTTTTTATAGCATTTCAGCTCATAAGCCAGTACTTTCTTCCTCAAGAACTGCAAGATAGTCCACGACTCACATCTGTATGTTGCTACAGGAAAAATGCATGCTCTCAAAATTTCGACCTTTATTCATGCATTGATACAAAATGAGAAATAACAACTGGGCAAACAAAGCCACCCTTTTCTACCAGATTTATGACATTCAACATGAATGTCCCCACCCCCTCCCCCCACAAAAAAATATTAAGTTATTGTAGTATCATTAAATAATGAAATGAACAATACTTAGAATACATTTTTGCTATTTCATAACTGCCAAATTAATATCAACTGTTAGTGCTACAAGTCTGCCTACCTAGTTAGCCTGCCAGTGCTACTTTAAATTTCCAGAGCTACAATAAACTGCTAGTGACATGTTAACCATATCTCATACAAAGCATATTCATTCCAACCCTGTGTTACCACTGCAACACACCAGAAAAGAAAATTAGTAACCATGGAAATGAGATGTCTGAGAAGGACTGGCGGAGTGACCAGAAGAGATATAATCAGGAATGTGGTCATAAGAGAACAAGTCTGCAAAGAACCAATTATAAACTACATAAATAGACAGCAAATCGATGGACTTGCACGCTTAGAGAGAATGCTGTCACATTATGAACTACATAAATAGACAGCAAATCAAATGATTTGCACACTTAGAGAGAATGCCTTGCGATGCCATACCATGTAAGGCATTGATGAAAATAGAAAGAAGTATAAGGTTGATAAAGAACAAGATAGAAAGAAAACAACAGAGAAACCCTACAATGGTATGATGTGTCTATGCTTGAGGTGGCCAGAAAAGCAAGAAAGAAACAGAACCTAATTATCCCCCTCAACACCAAAAGCGGTATAAGAGGTAATGAAGAAGAAGAAGAAGAAGACAAATTAACCTGCCATTTCTATGCTAAACCTCCAGCTCTACGTTAAAATAATAGTCTGCCAGTGCAACATTAAACTACCAAAGTTACTGTTCAATGCTGAATTGAGAATCAATATTACAGGACAGTCACATAAGTGCTCCATCTCTATCTTCAGCAGCAAGCGTAGAGTTCTCATTCTGATGGTACCAGTAACAGTCTGATTGTTTATTCTTCGTGCAATTTTCCTGAGTGTTAAGCGTCGGCCAGATCCCATGGACACTCCCTGCTGCACCCCTCTCCTCAGACCATGATAATATATTTGTGGCCTCTGCACTGTTCCCTCACCCCTAAAGAACACTTACAACATCTATCAATTCACCATCAAGTGGTGTAGAACCAACCATCCAATGGATGTGCCTGCACACCAGCAGGACCAGGGGGAAATACTTAACAACGGAAAAACCGTTAGCTAACCAGGACTTTTGAAGTGATGCTTGCCACTCTGCATGGAGCATATATGTTCCCACCTTTCTGAACATGCTCTGTGAGTCAGTTATAATTAAAAACGTGTTGAACTTTTTATTCTACAGAGCTGGCTTGCCAGTATTAAATGACCAGAGATTAATTACCTTGCTAGTGCTACCATAAACTTCAGTGACAAATTAACATGCCAGTGCTGCATGAACCCACCTCCTATTGTGGGTTCTGGGGCCCCACAATGGGGAAAACAAGAATAGATTCACTGCCTCCCCAACAAGCATGTCGTAAGAGTCGACTAATTGGGGGCTTTCTTCAAAGTCAGAGTGCATCTGCCTGAAAGGCAAGGAACCAACAATCTGCATACAATTAAGTCAGATCTGTTAAACAGATGTGCATGTAACACTTAGGTTCTGGAACAGGACTAAAGTCCAGAGGTGGACAAACAACCAGAACTTTCCGCCAGAGTTTACAGTCAGTAAATGTGAAGAAGAAAAAGAGATTAATCAACAGATGTATGTACAGATGTTTATGTTTATTGGATAGATCATCATCATGGTACACAGGTGTAACCCATAAGTGCTCCATTCTACTTCTAACTCAAGCCTGAGTCGAAGACTCTCAGCGCAGTGCATGAACTCTGTTGCACTGGCAAGGATCCTGAAATACTTTGGGTCTATTTTTATCTCCAAATTTTGCCCGGGCAGCGCTGTTAAGCTATTCTATTTTATTTACAACTGCCAAGGAATTTTTTTTTATGCCTGCGCAAGAATACACTTGGGCATCTGATCTTACTACCCAGAGACCAGGGGAAATTACTAGAAGTTCACGTGAAAAAATCCCAACCTTCACTGGGGCTTGAACCCAGGAGCTCCAGAGCTCGAGGCAGCCACATACCTTGAGACTACTCAGCCTCCCACCAGTATGATATTTAATTATACATTAAATTACCATTGATAAATCGAACCCTTTTTGCTCCGAGAAGCCACAAAACCAACACTTCTGGTTGGCTCCTATCTCCCAAAATGTCACTTACTAAAGTGGTTTGTTCATGAGAAGCCTAGCTAACAGCACTCATAGTCTACACATGCCCAATCGTTTAGAGTGACCAGAACTGATAATATTTACTAAATATAGCAATAAGGAGGGTGGGGTTCTTGTGAAATAAATGGGCTTTTTGAAAGAAATTACGACTGCCTGGCCAAACTAGTAAGAACAGATTAGGATACACAGTAGAGGATACAAGGTCATAAAAATAAGGAGAAGGAGCCGAATGGAGGATGACCCAGGAGGAAATCATCAGGGGGAAAAAAACAGAACAGGAGATAGAAGGAGTGGTCTGTCGGTGAGGAAACTAACATTAAGGCAGAGAGCTGGTGCACATACCAGAATCTTAGCCAAAGAAGTGGAGCAAATAAACCAGACCACAAATATAACAGGTGCTTGTTTGTGGCTCACTGCCAACAACAAGTTGAACATAGTCATTTTTGTGTTTTTTTTTTGGGTGTAAATTGGAAAGGAATCAATTATACTGTCATAATTTTCCCATTAGTTTTAGTGCTTAACCTGCAACTAGGTCAACCAGGTTGCAGGATCAAGAATGTGTCACTATGTACACAGAGAGGTAAGCCAGGTAATGCTCTGCTGCATTTATGCTTACTGACCACTACTCTTATACTCTATGGAGCTTAATATTCTTTGGTCCATAAATGCAGCTGATACTATTTTTTAGTGACCTGTATGATATGGTTGGAATTATCAAAATTTGGGTCATTAACTTAGCTTTTTTTTTTTTTGACCATCGGGGTGAAAGGATTTAATAGTCTAGCTGTAAACCTGAAAAACACAACCTAACGTGCCAACTGCTCTTTCAACGGCAAACGCAGAAAAAGACAAAAAATATAATTTACTGACTGTGTCCAGGTTGTTGTAGAAATCAGCACTCCCTGCACAGAGATATCTCCCTAGCAATGTGGCGTGCGTAGTGAAGATCAGTGCAGCGTTTATCTTTCTGGTCCGTGTATAGATCAGGCCAGCTCCTGCCAGCCATTCATGGAAATGAGCTGTCACCATGGGCTCACCAGATGTATTCTTTATGAACTGTATGATGAACAAAAATGTTTTCAAATGATGCATCTTTATTAACTGTATGATGAACAGAAATGTTATCAAATGATGCATCTTTATGAACTGTATGATGAACAGAAATTTCATCAAATTAAGGTCTTTATGAACTGTAGGATAAACAGAAATGTCATCAAATGATAATCTTTATGAACTGTTAGAGAAATTGAAATTTCATCAAAAGATGATGTTTATGAACTATATGATAATACAAATCTCATCTTCTTTTTCTTTTTAGCATTTACCAGCTGTCATATATTTCTAGTCTTTAGCATTATTATAGAATCAGATTTTTGCAGGCACATCTATTTTACAGATCTGGCTTATTTGTATGCAGACTGTTGGTTGATCACCTTTCAGCCATTTTCAGTCTTATTTAAAAGTACACTCCTAATTAATAGTTTTTACAACATGCAGTCGATTTTGTCCCCCCCCCCCCCCCCCCCCCCCCCCCCCCCCCCCCCCCCCCCCCCCACCCCCCTCCCCCCCCCCCCCCCCCCCCCCCAAAAAAAAAATCAAAATGAGGCTCTGGAATCCTAACAGGGAAGGATGGGATAAGAGGATTTCTATGTATTTTTTATAGTATGTAAATGTACGATTCTTGCATTTCAGCAGCTGGATTTGAATACTTACTTCAGTCAAGAACCAAGATACAAGAGCTCCAAATATAACAGCGTCATTAGATTCACGGTCATGCCACGGTATACCAATGTTGGCTGTCTCCCAGAGTTCATGCTTGAATTCATCGAGTTTCCAAGCTGCAGACCCAATGTCAAATAAGACAACCTTGGGGTAGCCATCAATCAGCCAACGGCCAAAATAAACCTGCAAAGAAATATTAAACGTGTCTTAGGATGGACAATTAGTTTTCAAATGAGCACTGACAGCATTCATTAATTCAAAATGTTAAAACAGTTTTCTACACATAATTACATTTTAGAGACCAGAAGATGACAGTATACATTGTTAAGCTAAAACATGTTGGACAGAATAATCAGATTCATTACTGTGATAATTCTACAACATACATTGGGTAGATTACAGTTGTATTATTATTCTGTTTTCCCATTGCTGGACCTCAGAAACACACTTTGGCAAAATACCTGGGTCTCATCATCATCATGTAGTAGGTCCTTTGCAGAATGTCGCTCTAATCATGGTCTGCATGAAAGAAACTTGGTCTCTCGCCAGCTCTCCCACCTCATGTACTTTCGTACTCAAGGAGTAACTTTTCGAAAAAAGGTTGCTTAAGGCTGAAGATGTAGTCTAAAGCCATGTGTATGTGGAAATCAAGGGGAAACTACCACATTACTATCCCAAGAAATTTATCATGGAAACTTACCTGGGTCTACAGATATTGAAATAATAATCATCTGAGACAGAAGGGTTGAAGAGAAAAGTAGGCTACTGTGGGTTAATGACTAGATGAGTTGGGGAGGATGAGAAAAAAAAGCTCTTTGGACACTTCACCACCAATCAGCAGATCCTTTACAGAATTTCACTCTCTTCATGGCATGCCTAAAAGTACATCTTTCTCTAGTCAATTTTCCAACCCTGTGTGCTTTCATATTCAATGCATTGAATCCACCTTTATGGATGTCAGCTTCTGCCTCATGTTCCAGAAATTGCGCCCTCCAACACTGCTTTCTCCAGGCCACCATGACTCTTGACACGGTCAACACACCTCCGCTTTTGGGACAGGATACTGTTTATAAGCCAGTTCTCCTTAATGTTCAGATCATATAGGATGTCAACATTTTTTCTTCTTCTTGGTTCACAATATTCTAAAGATTTTGGAAGTTAAACAAAATAGGGAAAAAAAGTCTCTTACCTTGATTCCAGCATTTCTCATACTTGCAATAGTCTCCCTGTAAGAATGCAGGTGGGGCTCCAGAAGCTCAACCTCTGTGCGTACACAAGCTTCATTGTAGGGCCCTATCAAACAGAACTGTTCACCCCATTCTTCTACGGTCACTGGTGCTTTGGTTTTTATGACAGTGTAAATACCACCAACTGTACAAACACACAAAAAAATTTTTATTTACTTTAACAGCAAAGAATTAATTCAAAGATTTAAAAAAGGCTATACAAATTTTATGATTTACAAAGATGACTATGAACAGAAATATGTCACTGCGTAAATTCTCAATTATTTCAGCTGCCAGATTTTCATGGCTTTGCGACCTAGGCTACAACCTATAAATACTGAATTTAACAGAATTAGGTTCAGAAAAGGATAAACAAAGCAGATTTAAAAGTCAGCATGCAACAGAAAAAGGAGACAGGAAGGAAAACCGTAAGTCATTACAGTTTCACTGGTAGTGTTTAGTTTTAGAACTTTTTGTAAATTACATGAAACTTCTGTACTTTACAAACTTCAATACAGACATGCTTTACTACCTCCTTCTCATCCTTTTAAAATCCGGGTAAGAAAGTGATAATATGTATTAAAAATGTAGACTGCACTACAGAATAAATTTAAAAAATGTCACCAACATATTACAGTTAGAACAAAATGGAGGAATAGACTGCAGGCCCTATGTAACACATGCAGGGCACAGCAAGATGATGATAAATGTCTTATGGTGGCCCTAAACTATTTTGATACCAGAAAAATGCAAAAACATGCTACAATATTCAAATGCTACAAAATTCCCGCAGCCTTCCAATGGATGCATGATTGATCAACAAATAAATCAGCACATCCTTTACAGAGCATTGCTCTTCATGGCACACTTGAAAGTCGCTTTCTCTAGCCAATTCTTCAGCCCTGTGTGCTTTATTCATGCTTTAATTTTACCAACGGGAAATTTAAAATCATGAACATACAACTCTGAAAGATCTTTCTGGTTCTTTGTACAGGGTCTCCTCAACTCACAACAGAGTTCCATTCTGATTAACAGACTGTAGGTTGAGTAAGTTAAATTTATATGTTCCAACATTTTAATTCAAACAGGTTACACAAATTGTAAAAAAAAAATTTTTAAACGCAAAAATTCAATCTGTGTACACATAATTATTGTACACAGGAATCTATGTACACTCTAGGTGTCTATGTACACTATAGGTATCAGTTCAAAAACGTTTTGACCTTACTAATGTAGTTACCTTCATTTCGCATACGTCATAAGTCGAGCAGAATGTATATAAGTACATTTCAGCAACACAAGTGGAAAATTGGCATTTCTGGGTGCTTTTCTGAATTGAATTAATCAAGTAACAGAAAGTATTGTGAACGGCACTCATAGAAAGAAGTAGAAAGATAGAAGAACACACTAGACAACATAAAAATCGAAAGCTATAGTTACCGTGCCGGGAATTGAACCTGTCACCTCCAGACGGCGTCTGCGCCTCGCCATGAATACAAGTGCACTAAGATACATGGTCAACTCGGCACCCCCAATAAAAGGTGTCTCATTGGCCATGTCTATCGTACAGATTTTTATGTTGTCTAGTGTGTTCTTCTATCTTTCTACTTCTTTCTATGAGTGCCGTTCACAATACTTTCTGTTACTTGATTAATTCATAATATTTAACGGCTTCAAATGGTTCCCCTCTCTGTTTATTTATTTTCAGAATTGATAAGCACTTGTTTGAAAACAAATGACACTTCATTACTGTGGCTCTCATTGAATTCCATTTTCAAGTTTACTTTTACACAGGGTTTTGTCCCTAGGAAAGAAAGGGCACCAGTACTCACTCCACAGTGAGACTAAAACAAATGCAGGTATTCACCACAAAGTACAGTTGTGTAAAAAAAAATGCTGTAAAATGTGCCAATACCACCTACTGTTGCTACCACGGAGAAGGGGGGGGGGGGGTGGCTTCCTTTCACAGACTGTAGGTACTGTAATACTGTAATAAGATGTTTAAACATATGTATCTTCATCAAAAGAGATGAAGTACTAAAATCGGCTCTCCTGTCAAATCCGGACGAAGAATAAAAAGCCTTGGACGACTTAGTCAGAGTTCTCTCCCTTGGCCGCACTGCAAACAGTGATCGGAAAAGCCAACGAAACAAACGACACACTTACCTATCATCATACGGTTGCGTGTAGGGCTGCGTACGGTTGCGTGAGGCATCGTGAAGGGATGCTTAGTCATCATACGGTTGCGTGTAGGGATGTGTAGTGTTTGGGTTTGAGTTAGGGGTAGGGTTAGAGTTAGGGGTAGGGTTAGAGTTAGGGGTAGGGTTAGGGTTTAGAGTTAGGGTTAGGGTTAGGGTTAGGGTTAGGGTTAGGGTTAGGGGTAGGGGTAGGGTTAGGGTTAGATGTGAAAATTTTGACGTAGGATTTCGAAATACTGGCCGACAATCTGATGTTTGTGGGAGTGGCGCCACCGAAACTCTGCCAAATATGACGCCAATTGCGTGCGGCTGGTGCCCCCAATCGTTGGCGAAATGTGCGTTTGACCAGCATCCAGAGGCCCTAGATTGTTTGTGTGTGTATGGGACTGTGCGCGATTATAGGGAACTCCGGCGTCAAAATTGTCAAATCTAACGCTAAACCTAACCCTACCGCTAACCCTAATCCTACTCCCTAGCCCTAACCCCTACCCCTAACCACGCAAATTTATCGATCATTAAAGCATACAAATCGGCAAAAACCAACAAACAAAACACACCAAAAAAAACCCAGAATTGTCCTGCAGCGTCGAAAAAAAAACCAGATCTGGGGGAAACAACCAAGCACTGGCAGCCCTGATGTCGACGTGACTGTCTTCTTTGTTTCGTTGGCTTTTCCGATCACTGTTGGGAGTGCGGCCAAGGGAGAGAACTCTAAGTCGTCCAAGGCTTTTTAGTCTTCGTCCGGATTTGACAGGAGTACCCTAAAATCTGCTTAATGCAGTAACACACACAGCACGAATGGCCAATTAGGACACAGATGTTTTGTGAAATTTCAAACAGCTGGGTAACAAACAGTGGTATTAGCAACTTTAATTTCATCAAAATATCAGATAACAGAGAGACCTGGAGTCCTGACTGATGTTTCTTGTTCCAGGTCAGGTACCCAAGCAACAACAACAAAACAGACAACATTGCAAATAATCTCCCAATCTGCATCACAGCATTCCAATGAAATGTACAACACAAACTGACAGCTTTACATTTACAATTTAGCAACTGGGAGTTCTGCCCTAAATCACTCTACTGATGTTTTATAGTACTGATAAATAACTAATTTTAGGTTTTAATTTCTTTACAGATAATTAAATCAACTATATTCTAATCTGTCAGCTCCATTAAGTACAATTTTGTAAGACTGTTTTAAAAATATAAACATCAAGGAACATTCATTTTTTTAAACCTCATCTTGTCTCAAACAGAGATACTTTGGCGATTTTAAACGTCATGGTGGAGGTGGACTAGAAATAACAGTAGGTAGTGCAGGGGCTGACCTGCATGAAAATAAGCACAGGACATAAAAGACACATTAGGCATGAAAGTGCATGGACCAGGATAGCTCAGGAGGGGCCAGGATAGCTCAGGAGGGGCCAGGATAGCTCAGGAGGGGCAAGAATAGCTCAGGAGGGGCCAGGATAGCTCAGGAGGGGCCAGGATAGCTCAGGAGGGGCCAGGATAGCTCAGGAGGGGCCAGGATAGCTCAGGAGGGGCCAGGATAGCTCAGGAGGGGCCAGGATAGCTCAGGAGGGGCCAGGATAGGCCAGGATAGCTGGGGAGGGGCCATATTTCTCCAGATAGGCTCTGACGGGAATAATGTTCTGTATAAGACCTGTTACACGACATGATTTTAAAATCTGCATTTCAATAATTAGGGGAAGAAATAAATATAAGAATATAAGCACTAAGCATACACTTCTTCTTCTCAGAGTCCAGGTGGGGTGCTGTTGGTAGTCATGTCTATACATAACCTTCGGCTCTCCTTTGAACTTCTACCCGATATTATGGCGGCCAAACAAATACCCTAACAGGGCCTCAGTGTGTGTAAAATGCGGACTTCCTGCGATGATCACATCATGGCAAAACTAGGATTACTTGACAATTTCAAGAGACGTAACACTGCAGACGATAGTAGCAGACGATAGTAGCAGACGACAATAGCGACCGTTGACAATTTCGAGCATTTCTGCAGACGATACTAGCAGACGATACTAGTGACCAATGACAATTTCAAGACAGACAAAATTACAGATGATAATATGGAGATTGCAGGGAGACCACGCGCTTTGACGCACATTAGCGATAGTGTTCTTCTGATTAAACTCACCACCAAGCGTATCTCCCGCGCCACTACCCGCGGCGTGGATGGGGATCGCAACTAGATGACACAGATGATCCTCCATGCCATGATGCTAACCGTCCAGCTTCTTCTCTCTCAGTCTCCCTTTGCTTCATTTCCCCTCCAGCTGTCCCAATCTACTCCAGTTTTCTCCTATTTTTGACATGACCAAAGAATTTAGATTGTCTCCTTCTTATGTGGGCAAGTTCTATTTGTGAGTCAGTTTCTTTCAAGACATCTTCATTACTCTTTTAATCTGTCCTGGATATTATAATTCGTCTATAAAACCACATCTCCACAGAAACTTAGATAACATATATCTGAGTGAAAGTGATTACAAGTTACAATATATAATATTAAGGACATACGATAAGAAGAGTTCCAAGTCACCACCTCCCTATGACGAAAACATTTTTTGCGGAAGGAATAAGGTGTATTAACGACGAACTTGTAAATGCCTCTAATCAAATCAGTGAAATACCTTCAGAAGTAAAAACTCTAATATTTGCTAGCGTCATGAACTTAATGAACTAACAAGGATTAAAAAACGAAAACTTGTGTCCAGCAGGTAGGCGGCCTGTGACGAGTTGCAAGCCAGTAAAAAAAAAAAGTACAAGAACACCACATATGTTTCGCAACATGTGTCAAAAACGTATTACCTTTATTCGCAACTTCCCATGCAATCTCGAAAAGCCACTTATTCTGTGCAGTTGCCTTGGCACCTCTGTCAAGAACCAGATCATCCAAATCGGGTTCGACATTTTTTAGCGTACGATAGAAACTGTTCCTTCTTCTTGCCTGCAGCGCCATGTCTGACTGTCTTAGGTCAGGAGGTGAAGGTCAACGTCTCTAGTAACTCGTTCAGCAGCCTTGACCTAACACAACAGCAGGACGGGCAGCCATGGGAGAAGTGATAAAGGCAGGTCTACTATTTCAACACCAAGGCCAGACCGGGATAAGTAACCTTATTCAACCAGGGAAGACACATGAAAACGTCCACACTGCTATATGCTTGTCTGCGAGTGATCGCTCACTCAAATTTACTTTTGCTGACTCGTCATATGTCTCGTGTTGTTTGACTGTTACTGTTAAATCCACGAGAGAGGGATTTAGCTCTTTTTAAAGTAATAGTTTTGTTACTTTCTATTTCCCAAACAAATGTTTATATAAACTGTCTTTGCTGCGAATAGTTACTACTTTGTAGGGTAATCATCATCATCAGGTACCTTGCCGACTGGCGTGGGTGATCATGCTTCTCCACAATCCGCGATCTCCTGCAGCATGTATCAGTTCGTGTGCTGACACACCTCCATACCATACAACAAGACTGTCAAGAAATCCTCTCTCGTTGTCTTCCTCTATCCCTTCTGTATTGGTTGTAGGCTAATTTGTTATATTAAAGCTCTTCACCGGCTGTCGCCAGGGGCCCTGATATAAACTGATGGTTAAACGGGGTTTCTGGGTCTTGTACTCGGGGGATTCAAATCCGAATTGTGGCACTTTGTGTCACCAGGTGTTTATCGCTCGTTGTGCAGTCCACGTACAGTTGAACATGACTTACTTTACTTAGTATGTCATAGGTTGAACGTCACTCACTTTGAAGGGTAATGTAGGACCAGCGGAAACTGTTCGTATGTTAGTAATAAATTGTGAGGTAAAATTCTTCTTCTTCTTCTTCTTCTTATTCTTTTTCTTCTTCTTCTTCTTCTTCTTCTTCTTCTTCTTTTTCTTCTTCTTCTTCTTCTTCTTCTTCTTCTTCTTCTTCTTCTTCTTCGCAGGCTGTAAACTCCTGCGAAAAAGTTGTTATTATTCGTCCACTTCCGGACGGTAGTTTTGTTCTAGACCTCGATCACTCTCTAGTTCCCTTCTCTATCTATTTTTAGTTTGTCTTAATTTCCCTAGACCCTGTGTGTTCCAGTGCAAACACTTTCTAGTTACACTGTTATCGGGTTTTCTCGACGTGTGGCCCATTGAACCGTCCAGTCTCTCTATACGCTGTTTACTATCTATGGCAAAGGTTAAAGGTCACAATATGGGATGCATGATGGGTAATTCCACCGGCCTGTGAAGCATGGCACGTATTTCATTGCTTTGCCTTCGCGTGTAATGGATCAGATGACGCACTATATCTCTCATACATGTCCTCCAGTCTCATCTCGTAAATAGCATTTGGAGAATCTCAGCACATATTTCATCCTCTTCTTCTTTTTCTTCTTCTTCTTCTTCTTCTTCTTCTTCTTCTTCTTCTTCTTCTTCTTCTTCTTCTTCTTCTTCTTCTTCTTCTTCTTCTTCTTCAACGTTTACTACTACTACTACTACTACTACTACTACTACTACTACTACTACTACTACTACTACTACTACTACTACTACTACTACTACTACTACTACTACTACTACTTCTGCTGCTGCTGATGATGATGATGTTATCCAACTTTCCGTTTTGTACGAGTTTGACTCCAACAGCCGTTGTCTAAAAAGACTTACCTTGCAATGCAGCCTGGTGGAGGGGCGGGGGGGGGGGGGTATGTTATGGCGCCTCTTACCTGCCGATGGTCATGTCGAAGAGTTTTAAGGTATTTAATAGAGTTTACTGTTTCATTTACTAACTTGCCTCCTCTCAATGCCCATCACCCCTATTTTCGTCCACGGCACCTTATTCGATACATTCGTGGCTTACCTTTGTATCTAGAGGCCTTTCCACCATTCGCTTCCTGGTGGACGCCCCTAGTGGTAGGACAGGCTCCAACCCCAGGGGTACCAGTAACAGTCTGACTATATCCGCCTCACCCTTCCCTTGTGCGTTGAGCGTTGACCAGATCCCCTGGTATCAAATGAATTTGTGGGATGGGAGAGGAGCTTCTGGCTGCCTTATCTGCCTAGTGGATCGGAATTTATAGGGTCGAATCTACGTCGATACGGATTTTTTTTTTTAATTGGCTTGGCTCACACGTCAACCCAGACTATAACAGATGACGTAAACAAAGGGTGACTGCAGTCGAGCTGGCTGCAAGAAATGCTAAATATAACACAAAATGCTGCTAAAAAGCTCAACGGAGGAAATAGAAAAGACACAAACACAACCGAGAGCTGTACCGAATAGTGAACTTATAAGTATTCGGTATTCGGCCGAATAGTTGCTGTCGGGCCGAATACGAATAGTGGTTACATTACACCCGTTTATGCATACACGGCGGCTGCTGTAGCCACTGCGAATTACTTGTTAAAATACTTGGCCTACTTTAATTCCTAGTTATTAGTTACTGAAGGATGCAAAACATATATTTTCAAATGTTTACTATTCTGAACTACATTTTGTAAAGTGAAAGTTCAGCGTACATTTGACATTATGAATGTTGTTTTTTTAAAAGAGCTGAGTTGATTCAAGAACCTACATCACAGCACTCGGGGCTTTTCCATAAGCGATCCGTCCTCATCTTCAGCAGCCAGTGCAGAGTTCCACTACTAATGGTGACAGTAGCATTCCGAATAAACGTCCGTCTTGCCTTTCCTCTGAGCCTCGAGCATCGTCCAGAACCCCTCGTCACTCTCTGCTGCATCAATCTCACCGACTGGTGATCCATTTGCTCCTCCGAACTGTACACGCTCTCCAACAAGGCACAAACCACGTCTGCCTTATCATGCATCAGTATTCCACCAAATTTTGCAGAGCCAGACAATACTCCTCACCCTTGTCCTCCGCAGTGAAGCTTGCCACTCTGCACGAAGCATGCCTGTCCTGATCTTCCTCAGCATGCTTTCTGAGTCAGTTACAATCACAGTGTGTGTATTGTGTGTGTGTGTGTGGTTCTCTAGCCAGCGGAAAGCTGCAGTGACCGCCTCCAACTCCATTTTGAAACTGGATGTTGTGGTATCATATGCTAAGATCTTCAGCACCAAACGTCGACCATTAACTTTTGCTAAGAAACCTAAGCACTTCTTTTGCCTCTTGACACTGAACCGACTGTATAAATAATTAAATCCTCTGGGCGAGCATTATCTTGAATTAATTGCTGAATTTCCGTGGCACCTGCTGGCCAGTCTCTGCATTCCCTGCTAAATGTGATTATGAACCTACACTAGTCTGACTGTTCAGGTGGCACTTTGACCCACTCCTCTCCTCGCATAATGTTCTCAAGGATACAAACCTGTTTGATTGTGTCTTCTGCCTGAGCTATCCATGACTTCCCCCTTATCAGCCGCTGACCCTTAACTGCACCAAAGAGCTTCGTGCAAAGTGTGATCTGTGTTTGCAACTACCCTGAGATCCGACTTCGCCTGCAGCACCTTGTGCCTACATGCAACAGTCGGTAAGCAAAGGATGTATCGCATAAACACCACTGGGGTGTCTATAGTGCAACCCAGAATGACCCCATAGCTGCGTTCTGTGTGCGCTCTAGTTTATCTATCTGACTCTTTGAGACGTTAAGCAGTCCCAGGCTATAATCAACCACTGACAGGATCAGGTGCTGATATAGTGTAGAAGCATTCTCTGCTCTCTGTCAATTGCAGCCTTAGTCTTGAATGCTCTGGGTCCTTTTTGTCATCTTGTCACAACACTCTCCACTTGGTCCTTAAAGGACAGTCTCCTGTCAAATGTAATTCTCAGATACTTCAGTTTGCTCTCTCTGTTGACGTTTCTACCTTCTATCGTGAGACTTAAGACATTAGCTCTAACGATTCTGTGGTCTAGAGAACACCACAAAACATACGCCTTTTCCAGGTAGACAACTGCCCTCATTTCTGTCCACGACTCAGTCACTTTGTCTACTGTCGCTTGTAACTCTCGGGCTGTTTGTTCTCTCTCTTCCTCGTGCCTATATGCAAAGGTCAGTATCCTTCCAACTCCTTGTACTTTTAGGCTCGCAGTCATGCTCGTATACACATTAAAGAGCACAGGCGAGATGGCGGATCCCTGTGGCAGTCCTGGGGCTAAGCTGCCGCCATAGTTTCCTGTCTGTTCTGGAACCCTTCATAGACGTTAAAAGCAAGCATGGCTGCATTTGCCCATGTGTCCTTTCCTGGCCTGTAGCTTCCCAGACCTTCTGGGAGAAGCTTACCCCTTTACAAAAATTACTGCAGCTTTATCGCGGCTATCTTCTCAAAGACCTTCCCAAATTTGTTTTGTAAAGTGATGATTCTAAAGCCACTGAGCTTTGAATGATTCCTAAAATGTTTTGGCAGTGGGATTAGATAGCTGTTCACCGAGTCCTGCGGTACTGATGCTGTCTTAATGCTAGAGCAAAGCAGTCGATCATCTCTGCCAGGTCTTTATCGCTCAAAACCTCCATGTGGCCATACCTGACTCATCAGGCCCTGGTGCAGTGTCTTTTGCTTTTTCAATTTTTTTTTTACATCTTCTACTCGTATCATGTCTTCATAATGCAGATTCTTTATGGTGCCAGCTAACTCCTTTCTAATGCATCCCTGTGTCTACATCAATATGATCTGTCTGAGCTATAAACCTATGGAGAAAAGCCTCCCCTTTCTCCTTGTCGGTTGTCATACGCACACCATCGTCTCTACAAATTGTTCCGACTGTCATAGGCCGATCTTTTCTTTGCATCTGCATTTGCAGTTTCCAGAATTTCCCCAATGTTTTTATCGCCTCCCATATCATTTACAAAAGTTTCCCACTTTGCTCTTTTGGCCTCTGCAGCACAGCGCTTAAAAACCTCCACCTTATCTTTTTTCACATTCTCCGCCATCTCCACTTCCTCTCGTGAACTTGAGGGTGTCTGTCGTACTTTCTTTAGCTGCTTCACTGCGGCTCTCTTTGCCTTCTACGCCTGTTCTACTTCTGGAGTCCA